TTATTTATATGCAACTATATATATATGAGGGTAAACGTACGTATATAAAGTGACATATTTTAACGGCTTCTTTTAAGACACTATGTACCGAATAATGTGCTGTATTTTAATGAAAGACCTGACTGAATGGAGAGAAGGACTTTGCTAAGTATGTGTGCTCTAATTTCATAACAATTTTTTTAAATAAAAAAAATTGTTACGATGCAAAAAAAATCTCAAAACTTTCAAATAAAAGGATGAATATGAATTTACGTATACATGATTGTTTTTTCTAGGCCTTTTGAATAATTCTTAACACGTGTTTTAACACATTTTCACGTCCAAATAATTAAACAAATGTAAAAGTCAGTATTAGTATCTTTCACCTGATCCACGTCTATCTTGTGTGACGTGCATCCAAATAAACCTTTAGTTCATGTAAGGCAATTTTACTTTAGTATCTAAATTGAAGAAAATAGAAAGAAGACATTCGCATTACATTATTAAGATAATTCAAAACTGACTGTACATTAAAAGTGTTAATTTGACAAGTTAAGTATTACATAGTGTCCTAAATAGGGGTACATTTATGACCTGTTTCATCCCACCAATTCAGTCAGAATTAAAGGATGACTTTTGATGAGTTTGAATTTAAGAATTAAATTTGATGTATTTTGAAGATACTGCAAATTTTAATATGGATCATTCCCATTTGATCTATCGTTTAATATTAGTATTCTTTTAACAAGTATAGTTTTTAAATAGCTATTATATATTAATAGAACAACTTCTCCACTTAATAAACAGTGTTTTGACTAATATGATATAATATTAGTATTGTCATGATTTATCTTAAAATATATATCTTAATTGTAATTTATATTAATTTCTTTAATTTTACAATTTAACATATATAACATTAAAGTTATATATTTAGTCAAAAAGTCTCCTGAACCGATTTATCTCAAAATCTTGTACATCTTGATTGAGTTGGATTCAAAATCACAAAATTAACCTATAAAAAATTTGGACAGAGTAGAGACATAGGTACGTAAACTTGTTCCAACCCACCTTAGGAATGCCATTAATCCCAAGTATATCAATATTTATTTAAGTAACATGGTTAAAATATACTTTGGCCTTTTATCTAATTTGAAAATTCGTTTAGATTCTTGAATGTTGTCATTTTGAACAAATGATCTTTTTTATTTTGAAAAACAATCTTGAATTATTTTTTTTATTGATTCGAAATGTAAAACTTCTTCCATTACATTTATTTAAATAAAAACAGCAAAGCCCAATTAAAAGATTAAAATAATTTTTTTAAAAGATAAAATGCTTATTAAATTTTTCTAATAAGATAAAAGAACATTAGGCCTATGACATCACGTAAAAAGAATTAATTTTATATATTTTTTAAAATAAATCATCTTCAACCATGCTTCTTTCCCACCTCTGATTTGCCTACAGACAATTTGAAGGCAAACATCCTTTATTTAACAATTTCTCCCTGGGACAAGGGAATTAGAAGCTGGATTAATTATTCCAAACAAATTCCCTCTCAGTAGGGAAGCGTATACAACATAGTAATGTCCAAAGTGCGATCCCAAAATATTGGAAATGGACAAAATAGAGCATGTTTGAATATGATTTAAAAGGGTTTTAGAGTTTTTTTTTATTGAAAATATAAAAATATTTTTTTTATAAAAAAAAAAAAAAAAAACTCTTAAAAACTTGTATCTAAACATGTTTTTAGTATTATTCCATCATCTTTAGTAAAATACGTGACAACAGCTCCATTTCATTAAATAAGAAAGGAAAATTTATTCCAAATTGAAAGTTCAGTTAGCTAGGAATAAAAATAAAAAAAAACAGAATTGAAATGGGATCTTGATAGACTTCTTTTATTTACCATCCGGTATAGGCAAATGCATGCTTGAGAGGAAGAAGTCAACAGTGTTATTTAAACATAATATGGCACATACAAAACATAATATGGCACATACAAATTCGGATGGGGCATGTACATTATGAAGAATATTCTAATTGTGAACCAACAATAGATGTAAAAGCAAACATGTTTCTTTTCGGAGATTTCTATGATATATCTTTATCATTAAGTCAACCTATTGATTTGGCTAAACGTTTTAGTCTCAAACTTAATTGGAGACAAAATCATCTAGGGCTCCGCAATGCCGGTGTTGTTATTTCCAACCAGAAAATCGAGGTTGTATAATATAAGTACCATTGCCATTGAAGAGAAGAAAGCTAGCACAGGTCCAAAGATCCAAAGTATAAGGGAAAGTGCTGAATAGAAGAGCCTGTTACCCACTGAATTCAATAAGATGGCCTTTACCAAAAGTTGAGTTACATATTCAGAGGTCACCAAAGAATTGACATGTTGTGGAGTGGAAATTAGGATATTCACTTGATTGAGAAAACCGTTAGAGAAAGTGTGACATAGAAAAGAGAATGAGAACATAGTAAGAAGTATTGCATATTTCAGTCCCACCATGAATTTCCCATGTGCCCCAAAAATTGTATCATTGATTGGTGTTTTAACACTGTAAGTGCTGCTTATGACTGCTCCTAGACCTGCACACATGAGAATTGCTGATGTGGCCATAAGGGTTGATCCCATGATTAGGTTTCTAAGAGATTGAACCGCTACCAAGTTCTTTTTGTCAATATCCTGCAATCATAAAGTTTTTATTTGGTAAGCAGTTCTGAATCCATAGAAAATCGTTAATTTTATTTGTTGGTCGAAGTAAATTAAATTTGAATTTCTTAAACTATAACATTCAACCTTTTAAATGAAAGAAACATAATTAAGCATGTATGTTGGACAGATTTTTTAAGAAGGGTTAATTAATAATTTTAGATTTAACACATCATTTTGTTATGAAACATTTTAAAAAAATTTAATTAGATCTTTAAACTAAAAATAATGTTATATATATATATATATGTGTGTGTTTGTGTATGGATGCATGTATGTGGATATTTCTAATTTAGTCAATTGTGAGATTAAGATTCATTTACAATCCGTGAAATTTGGCATCATATTTTTTAGCCTAAAAACCTAATTCAGTCCCTTATGATAATTGTTTATTTCAATTTAGTCCCACTTTAAGTTTTTGTCTCAATTTAGTCCCTAATAAATTAAATTGTTGCAGTGTCGGACTTCCGTCCAAATTATTTAAACAGAGTTAACTGTTGGTCACGTGGATGCCACGTAGATGCATAGGTGGATGCCAAATTTCTTTAATGCATCTGGAACCAGAACGACACGTTCTGGTTGCACATGTTGTGTGTTAATTTTGAATTTGGAACGGACCATTCCATATGCGAAATTAACACACTACGAGTGCAGCAGAACGGACCGTTCTGAATCTAGAACGGGCCGTTCTGGTTTTAGAACGGACCGTTCTAGATTCAGAACGGATCGTTCCAAAATGCCAACCACATACGTACGTTCAACAAAATGCCGCAGTGTGATTCAAAAATTGAAAATAAAAATTCATAATATATCATAAATTCAAAGACAGAAATATGGTTTAGAGACTAAAAATGAAAATTCATAACATAACATAGCAATACTAAAAAAGTTCAAAGAAATTACTGAGAAGGGAAATCATTTGAATAACGCTGAAGGTGTCAATAATACATCTTATACACCATATAACACTGAATGGCTGATAGGATATCAGCATTATCTACCTGTACATGTGGTTGTGTGGTGAAATGTTTGTCCTATGTATCATCTTCCTTTACTTCAGGTTGTACTTCCTCAAGAACAAGTTGTTGTTGTTGGGGTACATCGGTCAATGACTTCAAGGGGAAACACCATGTCGTTTCATCCTTGACTGTATAGTGTCAATTTGGTAGTAAGTGTTTCACTATAGTTTGACTAACAATGAAATAAAACTTGCTATCATTGTCCTTAGTGATACACTGCATTGTCCTTAATGATACACTTTATAGCCCAAATGTTTAGCAATTGAAGTTATCAATCTCCATTGACAATATTACCAAATCCAGTGTTTGAAATGTTATGTACCTTGGGTCTTTTTCCTTGCACGATTCACAACCGTAAACTATAATCATCGACCATTTGTGTTTGACATTCTGAACCAGAATAGCCCGTTCAGAAACCAGAACGGCCCGTTCTGGTTGCACTTTTTGTGTGTTAATTTTGGACCTAGAACAACCCGTTCTAGGTGCAAAATTAACACACCAAGAGTGCAACCAGAATGGGTCGTTCTAGTTCCAAATGCATTAAAAAAATTTGGCATCCACCTATGCATCCACGTGGCATCCACGCGGCATCCACGTGACCACCAGTTAACTCCGTTTAAATAATTTGGACAAAAGTCCGACATTGCAACAATTTAATTTATTAGGGACCAAATTGAGACAAAAAATTAAAGTGAGACTAAATTAGGTTTTTAGCCTATTTTTTATATCCTTATTTTTAGATTGAAAGTTAAATTTAATACTATTTCATGTTACTATTCGTGTGTATCAAATTTTAATTTTTACCAATTAAAATTTCTTACTATTAATTATTATGAAAAAATTTTATGGATAAGGAATAAAAATTGATAAGGATGTGGAATAATAGTAATATTATATTAAATTTCATGGATATTGAAATAAATATTTAATTCTAAGACTAAATTCTAAAAAAATATATAAAAAAAAGGATTCAATTATAATTTTTTTAAATTTAATAGTCTAATTAAAAAATTCAATAAAATAATCAGAAACCAAAGCACCCAACCCTAATTTTACTTCACATTTGTAACATGGTCACTTAAAAAAAATTAATGCAACTAGATCTGGAAGAATAGATAAAATTATCGATATATGTACCTTGGTCATGGTAGGAACCCATAATCGACAACCATGAGCATGTCTTCCGAAGGTTGTGGTGAAGGGCTGTGTCCGAGTCTTATGCCATAACCAAATATGATATGCTATGATCATTACTAACCCTAATGGCACAAACATCACATCCATATAGTAATTTCTCCACTCCATCTCTATTTCACCTTCTCAATATATAATCCCTCTAATTCACACCTCAATTAAGTGAACAATGCTCTCTAGTATGAGTGTAATATTATAACATTATTTGTTTAAATAGGAAGAGAGAAATGCCTTAATGGATTCTTAAGACATATTCTCTCACAACCAATGTACTTTGTACGGAATCACGCGTTTTTAATCAACGGAGAGAAGCGTGCCCGCGCTAAACATATATGTAATCGAATTTCAGAAAGAATTTTTTTTAGAATAAAGAAACACTTTTGGTACAAATAGAAGTTTAATTTCATTCGGATACGTACACTTGGCGTTGACAAAAAAAATTATACACAATATATGTTAATTAATTGCTATTTTGCAGTAAGCTCTACCGTTGTGTTTTACTGTTTCGTGTGGACAGAGGTGACAGGAATGAGGAACAAGTTTCACGTAATACTGTGATGTCACGATGTGAGTCAATGATCATGTCATTTTTTTTCTTCTTTTCTTACTTAATAAGAAATTGTATGAAGCTAGCATCTCTGTTTATGCACTTAAAATAAAGTTCTTAATCCAACAGCAAAAAAGTATTTTTAGTAGATTTTACTATGCTACATTATTGTTTTATTTTGATGATACTTTTAGGAAAAAAAAACAAAAAACAAAAAATAAATTGAACAAAGAAAAATTAACTTATACATTTAAATTGTATAGATTTAATTTTTCAAAAGTTAAGATCTATAATTTGATTTTAATTTATTGTAAAAATTTAATTTATTTTTTTTCTTCTGTAAATATTTATGGAAAAATATTAAACAAGATCTATATTTAAGAACATTAATACTAAGTTTTTACTTTAATCATCTAATCATTTGAGAACTCAACACAAGACACACATGGTCTCGAAATATTTTTAATTATAAGAACAGTTACTTATACAGTAACTAATCGATTTTTAGAGAGGAAATGGTTACTTACACCAATCATTGAATTAACAACATCATCATTCAAATTTCAACTATTTAATTGCAGTTAAAATGTAATTAAACTGATAAGAATAAAATAATTTTTAAAATGTAATATAATTTTAATCAACTTTAATGTAACAATTTTTTAGAAGTTATTAGCAAAATAAAAAATATAAATAAGTAGCGTACATATTTTTTAATCTCTTCGTATATTTTTAAGGTACTGATTGTCACTAACCGAAACAGGTATTGTGATTGATTTACAAAATTTAAATATAATTTTAGCGGTTTAGTAACATTTTTCTATGAGATGATTCTTTAGTGTTTTAATTTGGACTAAATATCAAGAGAGTTCAACCAGATGAATTGATCAGTTGGATCCGATTTTAACAACTATGAAATAATCTATTACAATCTTAAAATACCATCGATTAACTCAAATGACTTCTATTCGATATCAACTCCCCTCTCTTTGATCGTGATATATAGCAACGATAAGGGTATTAGTGTGGTAGTGGGATAAGTGATGAGTGTTGTTCGTAGTAGTGAATCACACAATAATAATCATCTCAAAAGTAGAATGTTTAAAATTAAATTTAAATATCAATTATTAATTTTTTATTTATAATTTTAAGACATAATACTCTCGTCCAATATGTCCCTTTTATATATATTAATTAAAAAGAGACACTTTCTATTTCTATGTATTTTATTTAAAAAAATTAAATAATAATGAGGTTAAGAAGTACGTACTGAATGGTTAATTTGGTGAATAGTTTTAGGTAACTAATTTATGAGAGTGTACGTAACCTCTGGTGAGTGTTTATAGACGAGAAGAAAAACGATGTCAAATAAGTGAAGAAGAAATAAATATTATTTTGTGTTATTTAAGAATAAAATGATATTAAAAAAAGAGTGGAGACAAAAAAATAGTTTTATATAAATAAAGTATTCTCCTTTTGTATTTAAATATAAATATATTTTAGTATAACTATCTTTAACGAGAGTTTTTTTATGGACTAAACGTATCTTTAGGGATATTTCTAAAACTATATTATCTCTATCAATTTATCTTCTTTTTTAATTTAGTTTAAAATTAATATATATAAGCCGTTCCCAAGTCTGGAACGGGCCGTTCTGGAATTGGAACGGGCCGTTCCCAAGTCTGGAACGGGCCGTTCTGGTCACCCGGAATGGGCCGTTCTGATTTCAGAACGGCCGTTCCAACCAATCAAAGGGGGCTTAATTTTGTACCCCAGAACGGGCCGTTCCAAACCAAGGAAAGGGCCTACAATTTGTATCACGGAACGACCGTTCTCAATTCAGAACGGGCCGTTCTGGTCACCCGGAACGGGCCGTTCTGATTTCAGAACGGCCGTTCCAACCAATCAAAGGGGGCTTAATTTTGTACCCCAGAACGGGCCGTTCTGAAACCAGAACGGGTCGTTCGGGTTCACCGGAACGGGCCGTTCCGATTTCAGAACGGGCCGTTCTGAAACCAGAACGGGCCGTTCGGGTTCACCGGAACGGGCCGTTCCGATTTCAGAACGTGCCGTTCTGGAGTACAAAATAAGGCACAATAGCCATATCCAGAACGGCCGTTCCGAATTTGGAACGGGCCGTTCTGGACCCCTTTCCGAAGTCTATAAATAGACTGCTTGGGCTCATTTCTCAGGACTCCAAAATTTCGTCCAGAGCTCGAAATTTCTCTCTTCTTCTCTCTTTTTCTCTCTCTTTCTCTCTCTTGTATTTCTTGAGACTTTGTGAGGTATTGTAGTGTGAAAAGGTCGTAATTTGTTATCTATTTTTTTTATATAATTTTGACTTGAATTTTTTAAAAGTCTGTTTTAATTTATTAATCTATTTGAAAGTTTATTTTTAAAGTAATGACGTTAAAAAGATTAATAAATTATCGACAATAGAAAATAGTCTAATACTTATAAATAAGTTAATAAATCTATTTTTAAACATATTTACAAGTTCTATTTTAATTTATGTTATAAAATATTTTATTTTATTATTAAAATTAAAATTTTAAAAATTATCGAATACAATTTTATTTTTAGAAGATAATAATATACTACATGCCTAGAATTTACTTAATTGTTATTTTTTTTAGAGATTTTACCCACATGACACAAGTGGAACATGAATTTATAATTGTATATTATTTATAAAAAAAATATTGGTTGTATATGAAGTAATATCAAAAACACATATGTAAAATGTCATAAAAGAAAAAATAATGAATCATTTTTTATTAGAAGAACAACTAATAAGTACATACATTAACTTATTATGATGAAAGAAAATAATTTTATTTAAAAAATTATAAATATTTTGTATATTTTATTTGATATATTTTAAATAATTAATTTCTATTTTAACAAATTATAATAGTTATACTAACAAACTAATAAATATCCATTATACATATCAAGAGGTACATATGAATTATGAGAGATGAAAAAAAAAAGGAATATTTTATTTAGAAGGAAAGTTGATGTAATATAAAAGTCAACAGACCCACTTTATGACACCTTCTACCCCACATACCATAAGACATAAATAATAAAATTTGAATAACACAATCTTTGATAATTAAAATACTAAATGTGTTTAGATAGAGAGTACTACCACTATTAGAAAAATTAAAATTAGAGAGGGAACAAATCCGTCACTAATTGACATATACATAATTTTTTATCTAAAAAAATAATATATTTTAAAAAATAAAAATTATATTCTAATAAAATAAATATATAGATTCAGAAAAAATGTTTATTTATTTGATATCTGTCAAATTTTTGAAGGAAATTAATTCTCATGTGATAAAAAAAATTTCTTAATAATGAATTAATTTTTAAAAAAAGTTTAATTATAATATATATCAAAGCAGCCTATATATCTTTTGAAATTTCTATTTTTGTTCGTTGCAATTAGGAAAAATTTAAGTCCCACATCGACTAGAAATACAACAATTAAAGAATATATAATTGAGGGACAAACCCCACCTTACAAGCTAATTTTATAAGGTTGAATTAGGCCCAAACCTACAATCTAAGATAGTATTAGAGCTATTTGGATCCGCTCTAAATAGGCCACTCACTATCAATATACGCACCAGACCCAAAAGTATTGGGTGTAAGGGGGTGTATTGGGAAAAATCCAAGTCCCGCCTATCATAGATCATTAAAAGGGTCACGCTAATTACAAAATAAATGTAAAGATAAGATAAGGAGAAGAAATAAAGGAGAATCAAATCACATTTGATTAATCTAAAATTGATCCCATCTCTGATTAAAAGTCCTATAGTAAAAGAGAATAAAATCAAATTAGAGTGACCCTGATTTTCATCTTAACTACCCAATTTACAATTAAATAAAAGTATATTCAGTAGTCAATAATATATATATATATAGGAGGAATTCACTTACTCCAAGAATAAGTCTTGGTAGACTTACTCTATTCAATAACTCATGTTTTACATTAAATTTCAACAATCCAATAGTTTAATTACAAGTTCTTAGTACATAGATCTAGTTTGCAAATTTTTAAAAAACTTGAAAATTATTATATTTTGTTTTATAAATTCAAATTGATGGATAACCATAAAAGGATATTATACATTGATTTGAATCTATATAACAAAGTATCATATGATTTTTTATTTTTTTAAATAATTGCAGACTTTGACTATTCATTAAGAATTCTTAATTCAAAAGTTTGATTGTTAAAATTCAATGTAGAGGATGAGTTATTGAATCTTGGAATAAATGGATCCCTTCTAATATATGTGTGTGTACTATCTTTTACCGACCAAAAAAAAATCAATATGCCATATCAAATCAGTTTAATCACCTTTGACACATCACGCCTTGACGGCACAAATGAAGATCTCTCCATGACATGACGAATTCGAAGTTCATTAAGACAATTCAAAACCACTTGAATGGATTTCATCAACTTATTCGACTCTACAAATATATGCTCCTTCAACTGCAAAATTCAACAAGTCCACATTTTTATTTGCAAAAGACAAAACTTACTTGAATTTTATGCAGAAAGTATGCATATTCATATCAATTAAATAATAGGCTTATTAACTTTAGTCCACTAATGTAGGTGGTAGTACAATCAACACTAGATCATAATCATTTCAATATAATATCAAAATGACCAAAGCTCTTGAAAGAAAATAAGAAAGGGAGGAGGGGCCTGTCCATCTCTAGAATACAACCTGCAGACAGATTAATTTGTGAAGATCGATCTCCAGATCCTTCCTTGCAGATATATTGACAAAAATACTTGGCAAAAGAAGCTCTGCAACTTCACCTTTAAACAATATAATATCTTGACACAACCTGGAGTTACAATAAGCTAGAGAAATGAGACATGAAAAAGGAAGAGAAAAAGAAAACCTGATAAAGGTCTGCTAGTTGCTAATGCTAACAACTAATGATCATTGAAGTAGTTACATACGTCCACAATACCTTAGGATAATGTCATTGCAGTACACAATAAGTGAATACACCAACGGACAAATCCAGATCTCAAAAGTTTTACCATCTGTCTCCCACACAGTGGACTTCTCCAATGAAATTGCTTCAGCTGAAAAAATTTAAGATTAGCAGAAAAACAGTTAATATTGTAATTACATAAAAAGGGCTAATGACCACAAGAACAAAAGAAGTCTGAAAGAAGAATTTTCTGATTTTGGTTTCAAAGTACCAAATTGTCTAAAGATTATTCTCACGTGTAATATTTCCACTTTGCTAGTTGCTTCTTAGCCTACCTGATTACATCATCTTCTTGGGTCTATATTAAGATACAATCCAATTGTAAGGTGTGGATAAACTAGGAATGTTTGGATTTTATTGATCTGAATAATTTAGGGAGATAAATTAGGAATATTTGGATTTTATTATTCTAAATAAATCAGCCATATAAAATCCTGAATTATGGATTCACCTTCCTTTCTTATTTCTTTCCTGTTTTATGGGATTCTAATTCCCTTTAAGGCATTTGTCTCCCTTTGTTTTTCCTATTTAAGTTTGTCTTACTAGCTGTTATTATCAGAATAAAATAGAGAAAAAATATTTCTACACAAGGTATGGGACTTGAATCCCACATTGAAAGTATGGGATTCTAGTGTGAGGTTTATAAGGGTCTTGGGCTCTACAACTACAAGGCTAGCTTTTATGGTGTGATTCTCCCAAAGTCTTTTTTCAATTAGATATCAAAGCTTTCCACCATGCCTCTTAGTTGCAACTGAATAGCACAAGAGGTGACATAAACATTGCAATTTTCACCTAGGACTAGCCAAGGGGACAGTGTAAGGATTGCCTGAGTGGGTAACAGGGCTGTGAAGATGTTAATATCTAATTGCAAGGTATACAACTTGAGTCCCACATCAAAAGGATGGGATTCTAGTGTGCAGTTTATACTTTGTAAAGGCCTTGGGTTCTCCAACTACAATGGCTAACTTTTGTGATGTGGTTCTCCCAACGTTCTTATTAGTTTAGCTAGAAACTGTTACAAATTTTAGTCTCAAGACAGATTTATGAATAAATAGTATTCTAGTTTATTTGAATTATTTCCAGTTTCATATTGTTTTTAAGAATTATTTCATTGAGAGAATATCTTATCAAAAAACTATATCAAACTTTATATTTGGGTCGATTGGTGTGCTTGTTGGTTTGCAGGCTGTCTTACCAGTTTCCTTTAGCAAGTCGATAATATATTTTTGTTGAGATATGAAGATCCCTTTCTTGGAATGGGCTACTTCAATCCCCAAAAATATTTTAGCTTCCCTAAGGTATTGATTTCGAATTCCTTGCCAAGACATTGACTCAACCTGTGTTGTTCCTTTTTATCATTCCCAGTGACAATGATATCATCCACATAGACCAATAGTACAGTTAGTCCCCCTAAATCAGAATGCTTGATAAATAAAGCGTGGTCCCCTTGGCTCAATTTGTATTTAAGGCTTGTCATGACTTTGGTGAATCTCCCAAACCATGCTCTAGGTGATTGTTTCGACCCGTATAATGCCTTTTTTAGCTTACAAACTATGTTGGCCTCAATCTGCCTTGTATACCCGGGTGGTACCTCCATGTATATTTCTTCTTCAAGATCCCCATGTAGGAATGCATTTTTTACATCAAATTGTTACAAGTCCCAATCGTGGTTTGCTACCAATGACAAAATTACTTTGACTGTGTTCATTTTGGCAACTGGTGCAAAAGTCTCCAAGTAATCCACTCCATATGTTTGAGTGAACCCTTTAGCCACCAACCTCGCCTTATACCTCTCAATCGTCCCATCAGCCCAGTATTTCACTGTATAAACCCACTTGCACCCAACAGGTTTTTTTCCAGGTGGTAGGGTGACTAGCTTCCAAGTATTGTTTTTCTCCAATGCCTCCATCTCCAATTCCATGGCTTGTTTGCATTTTCTATCAATTAATGCCTCAGATACAGAAGAAGGTGTAGTTGTGGTATTTAGGCTTGTGAGAAAGGTTTTATGGGTAGGTGAGAATTTTTCAAAGGATAGATTATTTGTCAAGGGGGGAAGGTTGTTGTTTGGTGCAGGTTCTGGTTCCTTTTCTATAAGGGCAATTGGGAGGTCCAAGTTATGGTCCACCTGTGCAGCTGATTTTTCAAAAGGAAATTCATCACAATTAGTAGAATTAGAATTTATAGGATCAAAAGGATTTACCTCATGTAATGATATAGGGTTGGATTCTTGGGAATTCTTGGCACAGTTCTTCCACCATTTTGTTGTTCAGATTAGATCCATTATCAGTGATGATTTATTTCTCCATGCTTCCACTAGATTATTCTAAAATTATTTGGGACAACAGAGAAAAGAAAGGAAAGATTATTTTTTGTTCTGAAGTTTGTGTTTTAGAGGGGATAAGTAAGGTTTATCACTCCTCCCTTACCTTGATGAGCAGAAGACGAAGCGAAATTAGGTTGGTCCTCTTCTTGGAGCTCTTCTTGTTCTTTGGAAGCGTAAGAAGGAAAAGAAGTGAGAAGCGTGAAATTGGGTTTGGTAACTTAGTGACTCCTCTTGATAAAATTCTCTCTTAAAATAATAAAATAATTAATAGTAAAATACACTTTACTAAAATGTCCTTCCTTCCTCTCCTCATAATATAATTACTAATAATTAAAACATAACTCTCCCTTTAACAAATACATGAACATATCCATTAATAAAATATATTTTGGAAAATTACTAATGTATTACTAATCAAAATAATAATTAAAAGACATGTCTCATAAATAAAATAGAGTTAATTAATTAAATAATATCTAAAACTCTAAAATAAATTTATTAAATATCAAAATAATTTCTAAAATACTTTTTGGTATAAAATGTGAATCTGGGGTGTTACAAATCTACACATTTTTTTTATTGATCAGTTTAGATAAGAAAGTTATATGATTTTCGATAAGAAAGTCAAATAGTGAAATCAAAACAATATATCAACTTAGGTAATAGTGTTCAATCTGTTTAAAATATTAAACACCTAGAAGATGACATATAAACAAAGAAGATAGTGAAATTCAAAAAAGTGAAAAGGAAAATGAATTAGGAGGATGAATAACAATTATTTGTAAATTTATTATTATGAATTTATAATGTTTATGACTAAATGTTTTGAATTCACCATTAACTTTAATTACTTAACGCATGTCTTAATTTTTGTGAAATAACTTTAATATGTCAACTATTAAAGAATTATGAATTTATAATATTTATAGCTAAATTATTTCTAAAGAATAATTTCTATCATAAATTTTATATTGTTTAAAGCTAAATGATTTGAATGTATAATTAGTTGTAATTACTTAATGCATGTCTTAATTTTTCTTTGAAATATGTGTTTGAAATTGGGTAGGAAAACAAGATAGGAGACTATACTAAATTTAGTATTAAGATAAGATTAGGATTACAGCTAAATAATTTGAATTTATAATTGGCTATAGTTACATGACAAATGCCTTAATTTTTGTTTGAAATTAATACTATTAAGATTAAGAAAAAATTAATATTACAACTAGATGATTTAAATTTATAATCGGTTGTAATTAGTTAATGCATGCATTAATTTTTGTTTGAAAAAATGTGTTTAAGATTGAGCGGAAAACAAGATGGGAGACTATCTTTGATTTAGTATTGTTATGATTAAGATTAAGTCTCTACACTTAATACAACTTGGCAATTAAGCAGCGAAAAACATAAATCTTAATGCTTAGGATTATCATGCAAGCAATCCTTGAATATTCATGCAACAATATATTTGTAAGGAATAAACAACTAAAGACATAAAAATCCCTCAGTGAGATTATAACCAAATCTTGTGCATATATACTAGGTTGCAAAACATGAAAGTCTTAGGTTGCCGGTCATGTACTATATACATGCTACATTAGAACAACACAACAAAATGAATAAGCCATCTCCAACATGACAAATCCTCAAGCAAGTCCTTCGACCTAATCTTGTCTGTTACGATAATAATATGATCACCACAATCCAACAACAAGAAAAAAAAGGGTAAGCTTGAATATAAGGAAACAACATAATATAGGAGCACATAGTAAACTAAAAAACAACTACAACTCAATTTCACAACAATAGTCATTGCTCAGCTTAACAACACAGATCAACATATTAACGTGTTAACACAACAATTTAACAACATAACAACTTTTCAACTTAACAACACAACTCATTAACATAACATATTATCAACACAATAAATCAACAACATAGTTAATTAATGTGTCATAACGCATTTCAACTAAGAGATCTCTTATAACATAGGTGAGTTGTCTAAGGGGTTTGACCCTACTGAACCAATAATAACATGGTCTTTTTGGCTTGCTAGATCAACAATAAAGTTAAATATCAATCCATTTTTAACATAACATTATTTTTTGGATTTTGCCACTTATACTAAGAAAGTCTAGTACACATTGTCAAGTATAGCATGGCTTGGGTGTTAGTCTATCATGACATTGACATGCATTAACTAAATCACCTATGGGAATAGTCCACCAACTATCATTGTGATACCATGCACCTTTCAAGTAATCAATTATCTCTCAACTCCATACCTTACTCAATTAAACCACTCTTAAACTAGTATGGCTCAACCTTGCTCCCATACGATATCAACTAAAGACTTAGAGGAGTCTCAACACTCTACTTAAATAGGCAACAATCTCAAAAAGGATTTTTCAACAATTGGACTCTCAAATCTAGAGAAGAGAACACCACAACACATATCTACACAATGAGATAATTTAACTTTTAAAAACAACACCTCTCCTTTAATCCTAAGTTCACAACACAACTCAACAACATACATCATACATCATATCATCATAACACAATACACATCAACACAACAAAATACATTATGAATATCACAACATAATAGTCCTCGGCATAATAACATGTCTCATGCATACCACAACACAGAAAAAAATACAACTTAAAAGCTACAAGTTTCAAGAGAAATTATCGCTTCAAGCTCCACTGGATGTACTCTGAGCAAACAAAATTTTCTCCAAGTGCTCAAAAATTTGCTTTCAACGAGCTCAAAAAGAGACTACACCTAGGAGGTGAAGTTGGATTGCTTAAGCAAGTGAGATCTCACTCTGAGCAAATGAAATTCGCTCAGCATGTCCAAGGAGTGCTCTAAGCGAGTCATGTTAGAGACCACCTCTAAAATGATCGAGCAAGCTTGCTAGAGCGAGCCACAAGGGGGCTCTAAGCAAGCAAACATGGTAGATTCAACATTTTCAAGAATATGGTTCATCAAATTACACAATTCAACCTCTCTCGACAATTTCAATCATTCATCCATACTAAAACAATATGCAATCTTCAAAAATAACACATGCATCATAAACAACTTAGATTCATCAAAATGAACAACATGCATCAACCAGATGACCATCAACTCTTCTTTGAAGTATCCAAAACAACCAAAAACCTATGACATAAAGGTTTTCCATTTAACAACTCATTTTTCATAAAATATAATATAAGTATTTTACTAATAATTTTGATATTTTTATTTTATTAATATGGGATGTTAAATATTTGTTTTA